GGGGGGATAGAAAAGCCCGTCCCACAGGAGTCACACTCACTGCTAATTGAATCTTTCCGTAGTCACGCTGTACTGCAAAGACTCCAGCCCACTGTTCCACCGTGTGGCCTGTTCTACCAACAGGAGTTTGAATCCCAGCTGTGCTGTAGTGACACAGAGTTGGTGTCAATGCACTGATGTTTAGCAGTGACAGGAAGTTAAACGTTGTCCTTGGTGTGTTCTGCCCAGTAACAGCTGGACCAGCTCCCTGTCCTCTGGTCTCTGGTCCAGGACAGTTCTACATGTTAACCAGCTCCTCAGCTCCTCTGTCATCAAATATTTATCTGTTCATTTTTTCCTACATTTAAAATAAATGAGGAAACAGAAGAAATCAGCAGAGATCTGGTCTGACCTTTAGATGAGCCGCCATCAATCATTTACAAACCGCTCCAACTTACAGAGCAAACTGTGTGAGATCACGTTCAGTACGAGGTCATGGTGGTCAGATTACATCATCTGATCTGATCTGGGTGGGAGACGGAGCCAGTGAAGCTCCAGGTTCTCCGTCGTTCTCTCCACTGATCTTCAATCAGGGACAGTTCGGTCCCGTTCAACAGAACTCATTCATATTGTAATGTTTCTTCAAGGGAATTCAAACCAGAGACAAACAAGGATGAAACGGCACCGGCATCAAAGTTGTCCTGTGGGCTGATGGAGGGAACAGGAAAGCTGAGGTGAAGGACCTGGTGGGGGAGGTAGAGGGGGAGGGAGGGGGAGGTGAGAACAGAACAGAAGAAGAATGATAAAAATAACCTGAGGTCCGTCCGTCTCTAGAACCAAAAACCTCATTCCTAAACTGGGAAAAATAAAGTTCCCATTTCTTTATATTGTATGTAGTGGAGGTGTAGTCANCAGGGGGGTTGAAACATGAGGACATTCATGCAGTAGAAGCTGCTGTGGTAACATAGCAACAGACTGTGAGGCTGTGTTGTCTGTTCTACACCGTGGTGGAGACGTGAAATCCTCATCTGTGGTTGGAGGACTTCACACACCTTCACACCAACCACTGTCCACGACTGTGTTCCAGTCCCACTGATTTCACACAGCTTTGGTTGGTTGGTCCAACTGTTCCAGTGAAATCTGCCCCAGAGATCTGCCCCAGAGATCTGCCCCAGAGATCTGCCCCAGAGATCTGCCCCAGAGATCTGCCCCAGAGATCTGCCCCAGCATCTGTTTTGTTTTCTTTGTGTCACCTGTTACAGAAGGCTCCAGCTTCTCCACTCTCTTCAGTCAGATCACAGTCAGACTACACTGGAGTGTTGTTGTTGTTGTTGTTGTTGTTGTTGTTGTTGTTGCTAGGATACCCAGACAGGACGCCCTGACTGGGGCAGACGCACTGTAACCCTGGGACGGTGGTGGGACCCACGGCGTCAGCCGTTCAAATGTCACCTGTGGCTGAGCAGAAGATCTACTTCAGACGGGTCTCACACTGTGTGTGTGTGTGTGTGTGTGTGTGAGATTCTTCTTCTTCTTCTTCTTCTTCTTCTCCTTCTTCTTCTTCTTCTTTTTCTTCTTCTTCTTCTTCTTCTTCTCCTTCTTCTTCTTCTTCTTCTTCTTCCATATTTCATGCGTGTTTCAACTACAACTTGACTTTCATGACTCTGCTCCTGTTTTCATCGTTCACTCACTGACATTGGAACGTGGAATGAAAGCCTGTCACTTTCAGGAACACTTCACCACCGCGTCTGTCCAACCATAATTTCTCATGAAAAGGAACAGATTTGATCCTAAAGTCAGTCCTTTATAAATCACTCACACATTAACACTCAGTGTCAGGGTTCAGTGGACATTTGATTATATTGATTATATTTAATAATTGAACTGTGTGATGAACTGCAGCCCAGGTTAAATCAGCACCACGGACAGCTCCGGGTCTACATGAACCAAACGTCCAAGGTGCTGACGGACACTGAGACCACGTGGGACACAGACAGAAGCATGACAACAACTGACCAGCGTTCCTCTCTGGACATGCTGCACTAACACCTGTTTATTCTAGGACCAGGCTTTTCAAAGTGTGGGGCGCGGCCCGGTGGGAGTGCGCCCATAAAGGCAGGTGCAGGAAAACATGGAAAGTATGACCAGGGTTGGTGGACCACGGCGTGGTCATTGAGTGGTCATTTCTGCAGCTCATATCACAGTTGTGTCTGTTTGTGTTTGTGCGGTGGTGTGAGGTGTGTTCTGATTGGACCAGGGACGACCTGTGTCACAAAGTAAAGGTCTTTATTCTCCATGCAGACGTTATAAAAACACAGACACAGGTTCACCTGAAGTCAAACCACTCATCATCAGGTTTATAAAGTGTCCAGTCCAGAAGATCAAACAGCACTGAGAGGTAAACACACACACACACACACACACACACACACACACAGCTGTGTTTCCTGAGAGCTGTGAAGACTGGAGTTTGAACCTCAAACATCATCTTCTGCTCCAGCCACTCATCAAAATAATACAAGTGCAGAACCAGTCACTGGTCAGTTCTCTGGATCAGTATTCAACACAGGAGGACACAGCCTGACAGTGGTCAGAGGTCAGAGGTCAGTGGTCTGGAGGAGGTCTGTGTCCTGACCTCTGACCCTCATCACAGTCAACACTCTCTTCTCTTCTATTATACACAAACATTCTGTTTGTTGTTTTCATAGTTTGTCACTTGATCAAGTCATTACTGCAGAACTGGTTCTAGTTTTACAAGTACACAGTACAGAGTACAGAGTACAGAGTACAGAGTACAGAGTACTCATGATTCATCTCTCAGACGTAGTATTTCACAGTCACATCACCCTGGTGTTACATACACTGTATCATGTACTACGCTTCTGCACTTCTGGGTAGGTTAACTGCAGTTTTCTGATCTAATCTGATCTAATCTGATCTAATCTAATCTAATCTGATCTGATCTGATCTGATCTGATCTGATCTAATCTAATCTGATCTCATCTAATCTGATCTGATCTGATCTGATCTGATCTAATCTGATCTAATCTGATCTAATCTGATCTAATCTGATGTGATCTAATCTGATCTGATCTGATCTGATCTAATCTGATCTAATCTAATCTAATCTGATCTAATCTAATCTGATCTGATCTGATCTGATCTAATCTAATCTAATCTGATCTGATCTAATCTGATCTAATCTAATCTGATCTCATCTAATCTGATGTGATCTGATCTAATCTGATATGATCTAATCTAATCTGATCTATGATGGAGGGCTCAGCGCTGCCAGGAGAAGAGGTTCCTCAGGGCGTTGTTGTAGTTCTTGTTGAAGGCGGTGTATATCAGGGGGTTGAAGAAGGAGTTGGAATAGCCCAGCCACAGGAAGATGCTCTTCCAGACGGGCGGGATGTCGCAGGAGCACAGCGGCACGATGAGCTCCGTGATGAAGAAGGGAATCCAACACAGCACGAACACACCGATCAAAATGCCCACCATCAGCGCCGCCTTCTTCTCCTTCTGCTCACGCCACGTGTCCCCGTCCGTCTGGAAGGTCACGGTGGCGTGGCGCACCGTAAACACCATCTGTGGCTGCTGTGTCTCCTCTTTGACCTGAAAACCAGCAGATCACATGAGGAGGAGGCGACTGGCTTCACCTGGTCCACACACCATGACCCTGACCCTGAGGGTCCAGGGTGTAACCCCGCCCACCAATGACTGGCTGCGACAAACAAGACACACATGTTTAAAATCGTGTTTACACTTGTAAGTATTAACTATGGTTTTAACAACTAACTTTTAACTTATCCTCCGAACAGCGCAGTAAATCAGCCGTTTTGGATTATTTTGGCTACAGGAAGTGACGTCGTGGACGACGGCTCGTCAGCATTTAGTTCATGCCGTAAAACAAATGCGGTGAAAGGAGGAATTACATCCGACATGTTTCATCAGCTGTGGGACAACCACCCGCCATTGTCCGCCATATTGAAGGTAAATACACCGTAAATGGATTAAATTAAGTCAATGTTTTACGAACGTAACATCAGGTGTTTTCAATGTTTTAAAGAATAATAATAATAATAATAATAATTTAATTTGCAATGAATTGTTTTGAGTTAGTTCGCTTGTTCGGTCTTCAACGCAACAGTAACGTCATATCCTGACGTTTGCGTCAGTTTCAGTGTCAGTGACGTTTAGCATTAGCTCATAAGTCACCGTTGGTCTGGTGTTTCCAACACTGACTTGTCTGTTCTGTTTATTACTAGTTTGTGTCTGTCATTGTAGTTTCAACATAAAAACGAGCTGCTAATAGACCAACATGTAAAATACGCATTAGCTTTTTGCTAAGCTAATCCAAACACACTCACCCTGTGATGAATGTTAGTGGGACTTGAGTATTTGTGTTATATAAGTTATCAGCTGTTTGAGTTCTGCAACAAACCAATGTGAGAAAACTTCACAACTAGATGTACGTGGCTGAGCTGGGCTAAAGTTGAGCCGAGGTTTGGAATGTTGACAGGGACAGACTAGTTATGTTGACTAGCTGTTGACTAGCTATGTTGGCTGTAATTGAACTCTATTAACCACTCGAACATCACTCTAACTACCACTCTAACTACCACTCTAACTACCACTCTAACTACCACTCTATTAACCGCTCTAACTACCACTCTAACTACCACTCTATTAACCGCTCTAACTATCACTCTAACTACCACTCTAACTACCACTCTATTAACCGCTCTAACTACCACTCTAACTACCACTGTAACTACCGCTCTAACTATCATTCTAACTACCACTCTACCACTCTAACTACCACTCTATTAACCGCTCTAACTACCACTCTAACTACCACTGTAACTACCGCTCTAACTATCATTCTAACTACCACTCTACCACTCTAACTACCACTCTATTAACCACTCTAACTACCGCTCTAAACATCACTCTAACTACCACTCTAACTACCACTGTAACTACCGCTCTAACTATCATTCTAACTACCACTCTACCACTCTAACTACCACTCTATTAACCACTCTAACTACCGCTCTAACTACCACTCTAACTACCACTCTAACTACCGCTCTAACTACCGCTCTAACTACCGCTCTAACTACCGCTCTAACTACCGCTCTAACTACCACTGCAGCATATTCTGAGCAGTTTCATCTAAATTCTGCCTTTTCCTTCATTTTTTCCCTTCGACTTTTGCCGTCAGTCTGTCTGTGCCTTTGAAGGTCACCTTTTATCAACTCCTCAGCAGTTTATTGATCCTTCACCACTTCTGCTTGTAATCGATCGCCTTGACAGCATGAGAAATACAGCCCTGGCTGATCTGATTCTTTCTGACTTTCTTTTTTGTCTTGTCTTTGATGACGTAAAACATAAAGAGCGCCCCCTACAGTTGAGTCTGCTGAGCTGTTGAAGAAGTCTGAGGATCTAGAACAGACATAGACATTAAAAATGGATGTAATAATAATTTAAAAACAAATCTTTAAAACATCTGTGTCATTAATTACAGTGAAGAAAACGTCAGTCGTTTGTGTGTGGGCTCCCGGGGCGGTCGTTGTAGATGCAGTCTGTGTTGTCTGTGGTCCAAACCTAATAATACTTGTACAGTCAGTATTGTATTGTAGTAGATAATACTACAGTAGTAGTAACTTTTATTATCATATTTTAGGGGTTATTTTTGAGCAGCACTGACTTTGAACATCAATATAATTAATCCTGTAGATAAAATGTGTGAGAGGATAATCAATCTCTGGTTCGTGTGTTCATGAGTGGACCGTGCTGATGGATGAGGGCAGCAGCTTTGACTTCTCTGTGGTTGATGTCACTGCTTGTTATTACTCAGCTCCAACACTGCAGGGCTCAGAAGCTCAGCCTGTCAGAGCACGCTGCCAGATGTTGGAGATAAACTTTGGCCTGACACACACACACACACACACACACACACACACTCACACACACCAGAACTTTGACCAATGACTCCTGCAGACTCGTAGACCGACTTCATCTCAGGTGAAGAGGAGGGAAACTGCTGGAAGTTAATCCACCAAAATCAGAGAAAGTTGAGGTCTAATTCATTTGACGACCGTTCTCTCTCCGTCTTGTCCTAAATTTAAATATTACGGTTGTGTAACTAATGCTTGTCCTGAGATTTGAGAGGAAAAGTAGTTGAAGGAGCAGTTGGTGAAAGGACTAGACATCCTTGCAGCAGCTAAACTCCCTCTCTGGTGGATGTTCTTTTCAGAACGTTCTGACGCTGAGTGTTTTTAATGACAGGCTTTTTACATATTGAAGAGAAACGCTGCCTGACGGTGGTGTAATCTCTGTCATTACTCTGATCCAGGACAGTCCTCTGGGGCATTATCTACCATCTTGGTGGCTAACGAGTAGCTGCACCTCCAACTTTCAGAGGGAGACGTGTTCTTTAATAGGTGTTTGCTAATGTTTGCAGAATAATTGCAGACATTAGTGTGTGCTGATTGGACGAGCTCCAGAGACAGGAAGCCTGTGTGGCCTATTAAAGAGACTGTAGGTGGTATTTATAGTCTTCCTCTCCTGCCCACACCTGATCAGGCTGCTGGTGATGAAGAGGAAGGATTCCGTTTTTGTCTCTCTGCATCACATACTCATCTTTCCCTGATTAAAAGTGCTATAAATATAAAGAGAGAAGAACGTGTGCAGCTCTTAGAGACTTCAAGTGGAAATTATAACCATCCTGTGAGTCACAAAGACCAAGAGTTTAACTTCTTTTAAAGAAGAAAGAAGAAAAGAAACAATAATCACCTCAGCCATGGGTGTGATGGTGTTGTTCTTCCGGGAACCGATCCGGAACTTTGCAGCCTTGTAGATCTTCCAGTAGACGAACAGCACCACGCAGAGCGGCAGGTAGAAGGCTCCGAAGGTGGAGAAGATGGTGTAGGACGGCTCCTGGCTCACCTGACACTTCATGCCCTCCGAGTAGGTCTCCCCCCAGCCGAAGAGGGGCGACAGGGAGATAATGGAGGACAGCAGCCACGTGAGGGCAATCATCACATTGGAGATCTTCTTGCGTGTCTTCAGCGTGTACTCCAGATGCCTGGTGATGGACCAGTAGCGGTCCAGAGCGATGGCGGTCACGTTCCAGATGCTGGCCGTGCAGCAGAGCACGTCGAAGGAGATCCACACCTGGCAGAGCACGCGGCCCAGTTTCCACAGCCGGCCGTTCAGCTCGTGGATCAGACTCAGAGGCATGACCAGCGCGGCCACCATCACATCAGAGATGGCCATGGACGCCACCAGGTTATGAGGAACCCTGTGGAACGTCCTCACCCTCAGGATGGTCACCAAGACCAGGAGGTTCCAGACAAAGGTGGCCGCCACCAGCATGGCCAGCAGGGTGAGCGTGAGGACGCTGAAGACGGAGAAGGGTCTGTAGATGTTTCCCCCAGAGTCAGGCTCGTTCAGAGCTTCACTCAGGTTGGAGGTGAAGATGCTGCTGTTGGGGTTCGTCATGGTTCCCGCTCACTGTCCTGCATCTGAAGAGACCAGTGACCAATGACAGACACTTCCTGCAGACGCTTGATGCATTCTACGGAGATAAAGACGGTCGTGAGATACGGTGTGAGAAAAGACGACTCCATCAAACACAGAGTTCAGAGTTCATCAGTGTCTATGAAGATCAATATGTCACCAGTTCTCCAGTGCATCTAAACCAGGGGCTCACAATTACTTATTGTCATGCCCCCCCCCCCGTCCCCCCCCCTTGGGGACAGTGTTCTCACACTGCCCCCGACCCACACCCCGCAGTAATTGAAATACTATGGAGAACCTGATAACATGTATATTTTCATCTGTACAAACCACTGAACTGGTGAGTTGCTGCCACCTAGTGACTGGAGGCTTGTTGTCATTGCATTATTACAGCAGTGGTACACATATTTCCAACAGAAAATGGAAGCCCCCGCCCCACTATTTGAGAAGCACTGATCTAAACAGACCCAGAAACCATTGGTTCAGTTCTTAGTCACAGTCACAGTGTTCCCTGGTGTGGAACACGACTGAGGTTGATCGATCTGGGCAATAAAAAAGAAAAAAAAAAATATATATATATACTGTATATATATATATATACTGTATATATATATATATATACAATATATATATATATATGTATATACTATATACTATATATATATAC